TATGCACAAAGCTATATAATGGGCTATCTGTTTTCCGTCCATTGCGGGTATCAAAGCCCCATTTTTAGCGTTATAGCCCTCAGATTTACCTTTGAGCCACCCTAAGATGATCACGAAAGGGAAAAATCTCCTAAATATGTAACGATTTCTTTTCATTATAAGGACATAGGTGAAGACTTATTATGCTAATAGGAGAAAAAATTTCCTGTGGTAAGTACATGGTAAGCCTTTCACGTAATGGGCTCTTAAGACCGTTAGAGGAAACATTTCCTATACACGTTTCAATCTCATACGACCACGCAAGAAAACATCCTACACAAGGTAACTTTTTTGTTCGTAGCCGTAACATGTTCGTATAACAGCAACGTATTTATCACTTACTTGTAAAACATATATTGTACTAACGTGTTAGAAAAAGTTACGGGTTAAGAACAAAAAAAACTATTTTTGTTATTTCGAACTTTCTTGAGACACAAGTTAAACAAATCCGAACTTATCTTGTTGTCCTTACCCCACCCCACTGTACCTGATGGCTTAGAAGTAAGTTAGTAAACTTATAATGCTAAAAATCGGACTTCGATACCAGCGGTGGGTAGAGCACAGATAGCCCATTGCGTAGCTTTGTGATTTACGATAAACATACAAATTTTTGTCCATAATTATAGAAGATGATTAAAAAGAAAATTATATTCCTTCGGATTTCATAAAAAAAAATCATTAGAGATTAAACGCGCCTCGGTTGTTAGTTCTTACTTAGGTTAAAGTTTATTTGTGAAGAAAATGCTATTTTTATATGATAGAGCTTATTTATTTGCAGAGCTACACAAGGACTGTCTGCACTCTGTCCACTGCGGGAATCAAACACAGAAGTTTAGCGTTATAAGTCTGTAAATTTACCGCTGATCCATCAAGGGACCGTATGGATTGACCCTCACGAAATATTAATATAGTTTGTTTATTTTTCCAAAAGAGGCAGAAGATAGTCCTAATTACAAAGAATCTAGAAGTTTCTGAAGTCTCTCAAATTTGACTGAAATGATTTATTTTAAAATTGGTTCTAAGGAGCTTTTCAAAAATATGACCTAAACTTAGACTTTGGAAATTTTGAAAATGAAACCCCCATAAGGCGATGAAGGGGATTTTGTAGATTCTCAGATTGGGATTAGCGGATATATACGAAACTTAGCGTAGATATCAAAATCGGCATTCAGACAAAGAAACCTAACTTAATAGTTTTGGAAGGTTCTCGATTTCTTACCGTATGAGAATCAAGAGAACTCTGGCCCTTTAAGATTTGCAAGGTACCTTTGAATTGGGCAAAAAAATCGTGAAAGGGCGGCCCATGCCCAGATTTATTGCATTACTTTTGAGCCCAGCATTGTCGGTTACCTTTTCGAGAATCAAAATAAATACAGAAAGATACAATATCTAATGGTATAATAGGGTTGTTTGTGGCTTTGCAATGGAACCTTTATCTTTATCTTCACAGTTCCATGTCCTGAACCCCCAAATCGACAAAAATGACGTGAAAACTACAGAGAAAGAAGTTTGTTGGGAAGAACGAAAGATTAAGGAAGCGATTGTCATTAGGAGTCATAGCTGTGTACCACCTAGTGAATGTTGAAACCCAACTCTTGGAGAAACTCCATTATACAATGCCTACACCTTCTTCACAACACAGGAACAGTACAATAATGGATGCAAAATGCCGTCTCAGTAAACTACAAACATTACACTGTTCCAGCGTGGAATAAAAAGTGTACAGTGTTTACATGTGCAAGCGAGTCCATGTGCAATTGTATGAATATATGAACAGAATACATTTATATGTAGTTATATATATATACATATATATACATCTATACAGTTTTAAAAATCTATGATTCACCATATTTCAAACACTGTCTATAGCTTTCCATCACTGAGGCTTACACGTCATAGCTATACATCATATATATACTTTTACGTACTTACAAAAAAAAAAAACGTACAAATATTTGAGTTTAATTTCATATCATTATATAACAAATATAGACGGGTTGCGTATATGTTGTTTATAGTTGTTGTTATGGCAAACTTTAGGATCATCCCATTTTTCATAATCCTCCAACAACAGGGGTGAAAGAAAGACTTACTATCAAGAAGAAACATTTTTGTCATGAGTTATAATCCCAAGATCTTCCACTTTATCTTATGGGTAATGGACCTTATGGTATTTTCAACACATCGATTCTTGTTGGTTGAGTATTACTACGTAGAGGATAACTTTGAATAGGAATTAACAATTTATTTGAAAACAAATTGCAATATGTAGTAATAAATAAAATGATTTTTGTATACGTCTATATTATCAAAACATTCAAAAACAATTGAGATTCGACATCCTTTGGTATTGGTTCTAATCATATTCGGTCTTTTAAGTATATTAACCTCAGGTATTGGTTCTAATCATATTCGGTCTTTTAAGTATATTAACCTCATACAATGTTCATGCGTAATCACCTCATTATGACCATTTATGATAAAGTTCACAGAGCTTTTGTTGTAACACGATTGTATGGTTTTTCAATCTGGCAAAATGTTTAAACGTCAATTTTTTTTAATCTATAAGCTTCTTCACGTATCGCATTTTCCAAAATGTGCCTGGACCAGATACGTGTATATATGAAAAAAAGTGAAAATTTATATCTCAATAACTACCCATTCATACACATACACTTATCACCTCATTTCCTTTTTACAATAAAAATAAGTATTTTTTTTAATAACCCATCTGTATGAATATAATCGTTTTATATAAATCCACATTCTTGCCCCCCCCCCCGATTTACAACACTAGAAACCGTGTTTCGATACCCGTGGTGGGCAGAGCACAAATAGCCCATTACGTAGCTTTTTGCTTAACTTCTACAAACAAACAATAATATTTCAACACATTAATAAATAGTAACGAGGTTAGGTATTTTATAAAGAAAGAATAAAACTTTTACACGAAAGCAAAATCAAAATCTGTATAAACAGAATACGGATGAAAATGATAATCGATAAGTTCCTGGTTATTTGAGAATTCCATAAAGTCTAGACCTAAAGTAGTCGCTGTCAGGAATTAAATTATGTTGCGAAAAACGAATGTCCTAAGTGATCTATTTTTTCAATTAGTTGTGCTTGAAAATTAAAGTCTGTTCCTTACTTGTTATAACCAGTCTTTAATTAAAAAGACGTCCGAAAGCCCAAGCAATTATTTACTTCCTCGTTATAAGGATCGAATTTCAATTAGTAGAAAGATAATGAAGGCTGATCTAAGGACGGTAGAATTCTAATTGCTATTTTTCTGGAATGTTCTAATGAGTATCTTTTCACTATAAAGTAGTAATCAGCCTAATATATGTGATTCGAAAGTTAAATGTATAACAAAGAAGGTTTACGTAGATACTTCCTTCCGAGTAAGTCTGATAAATGAGATATATATTATTTAACTGTGAGACATGTTTCTGACATTCTAATAGAGCAAGGAGCAGTTGAATGGGTGTTTGGTTTAGGTTGGTTGTTGTTAAGCTCAAAGCTACACAGTAAACCAGCTGAGCTTTACTCACTAAAGGTATCGAAACCCGAGTTACAGAGTCGTATGGCTGCAGATTTACTACTGAACCAATGGGGAGTGGGAGGCAGAATTAATTTTCTGAGGTTTTTGTTTTTTATTTCAAGTCAGTGCTAACATTTGTTTTGTTTTTATGACTATAGAAATATTGAGTTATTTTTAGAAATACACTGATACAAGTTCATATCTCACAAATTTCACGTACTTTAGCTTAATTTTCTGTCGCCGTCTTCTCGTTGATAGATGTATTGTCCCTCGCACGCTCAAATCAATAAAGAATTGACTTTCGTACACATTTAGAACTGTTTTCAGTCTCATCTGAAACAAACTAGCAATCAAACACAGCAGATAGGTTTAACAAAATGAAATGCAAGAGGAAATGCAGGTAAAATGATCTGAATTGTTTCTTCACTAGAATTAATCATAGAAGAGAGATTTGGCTGATCGATCAGTTTAACCAATAAGGAACAGCACAGACAAAAGAAATCGTATAAGCAAGGGCCGTGAACTGATTAAATATGGTTGACTAAACTGTATAACTAAAACTCGCTTTTACAATTCATTTTTATTGGTTTTCTCACTTTAAGTACAAATCTCCACTACTTGTTTATTTACACAATAACACACATATATATATAGACGGACAAGATTTTACGGCGCCATAAATCTAAGAAAACAGAATTATGCAGTAAAATTAATCCTTTGGCATAGAGTTGTTTGGGAAGAATCCGAGCACTCGTAGTTCAATAATACCGTTGGTTTTGCGATTCGTAATATTTAGAAAACAGGTGATCTATGGGCTAGAAGTTAAACACAAATGTATAGATGTATCATAACGCAAAGAAAAAGGTTGACACGTCAAGTATTTTACGAAGGCAGATCTTCAGCTCCAAATTCAGTTTCAATTTAACCTCGAAGTAGGAAACTGTTCCTTCCAAAAACGCGTAACTCGTTTATTTTTTATTATTATCATTATTTCTTTAACAAGGGTCATAACTGGTTCAAAGAGGACTATTAAGATTTAACTTACATTGTCGAGAGCCCTCTTAAGGATTTTTGAACAAAGTAAATATGTAGCAAGATGTATAGTAATGCAAAATTCTAAATCTTTCCGTCTTAAACTTTGATATGCTACGTGTTCAATTTTTGTGAAATAGGAACGTAAATAGTCAATAAAACGGCAGTGTTTGTTTACGTTCACTACCATTTAATTATATATAAATCTTCCATTTAATTATCACTTTTAGCAGATGATCGTGTCAAGTAAGGAAGACGATGAACTTTTATTGTACAATCAAAAGACTTGCAGTAAAATATTTCATTACAGCGAGTAAAAGTGAAAATGATATTTACCACTGTTTACATGTACGGCATTTAGATACCCAATTCACACATTCTTTTCTCAAAGTTAAATAAGAACAATAAAAAAAGCTATGGATCTGAAGCAATGGTCAAGCATCAGAAGATAGGAAAGAAAAAAGTAATGTATGTGACGAAGAAGTTCCGAGCTAGTTCAGTTATCCTTCCTGTCCCTTTTCTTTCTGAAAGTGTCACTTCAGATTTTACAGGTCTGTAGATAAAATATTTTCAGTAAGCTTTGGAATCTCAGTACTTTAACTTTACACTGTGCATTATAAGATATCTTATGGCGTCTTGTCAAAAATACAAACAAACTTTATCACCACTGTGAAACTGTTCCTTGTGTTCTGTTGAAACGTTGAAATAGCTTCTTGTGTTCTGTTGAGACGTTGAAATAGCTCCTTGTGTTCTGTTGAAAATATGTTGTAATTACGTCGGACGAACGTCTCAACAGAACACAAGAAGCTATTTCAACGTCTCAACAGAACACAAGAAGCTATTTCAACGTCTCAACAGAACACAAGGAGCTATTTCAACGTCTCAACAGAACACAGGGAGCTATTTCAACGTCTCAACAGAACACAAGGAGCTATTTCAACGTCTCAACAGAACACAAGGAGCTATTTCAACGTTTGAGAACAAAGAAAGCACTAGTACAACAACCAAATGACGAACTCAACGCAACCAATGATAGAATATTAAACACATGTTTTTATTTAAGTTATTTTTTACGATGCCAGCATTTAACAACATAAGTGTAAACTTCCAAGTCGAATCTTTTATGATTCTGGAATTAACTTGTTATGTCAAATAGTTCGATTAATGTCTTTAACATTTAAGCATTGTACCCAATAACGTATATGAAATTAAACAATAGAACTTTTACATATTGGATTCTTATAACAGGTTGTGTCAAGAACAGGTTGTAGACTAAATTAATTTAATTATGGGAGGCTTAAAAATAATTGGGAACTTCACTGGTTTTTAGAATGTAGCAATATTTTTATTTTCATAAATCAAGTTATTCTTTGCAAAATACTGAATTTCAGCTGAGATGTACATTTCATTGTTTTTAGGCTTGAGAGAAAGAAAATGAACGTGAAAATCTGAAATGTTATCTAGTTCCAAAAATAAAAACTGATAAACAAATTTAGAAATTGACCTGGATGAAATAATATTTTGAGAGGAATTAAAAAAAAAGAAACTCGAATGTATGTTTGTTTATAATTTTTCTTGTAGTCTTATTTTCAAATCTACTTACACCAAGCAGCTAAAACGCAATTTAAAAATATGTTTGTAGACTCGGGTCTTCTAATTTATCCTGCGTGGCTTTTATTTTTCGGCACAACACGTTATCAAACGTATTTTATATAAACGCAAAAAACTTTCAATCTAAGTTTTTTAAAGACTCCATTTAAAACAACTCATTTAAACACACCCCAGACAAACAGATAGTTTAACAAACTTTGCGAAAATGATTAAATACACTTAATGTAAGAAGTTTGTCGTGCAAAAAGGTGATAGACCTCAGTCTTCTACCGCATATAAACAAAGTTTTTTTAAACTCTTAATTTTATGGAATCAACCAAGATAAATTGATTTAGTGTTAAGGATAAATTTATCTCTTAGGTTATTTATTAACCTATCTGGCAAAAAATAAAAAGACAAAGAGTACGGGTACAGTTAGTGTGAATCAGTTGATTTTTTTTTCTGTCTGTCTGTCTTAGTCGAGAAATCGACACTTGAAGCCTTTAGTTGCGCTTGTTTATTACGTATGATTTATGGACAAACTTACTAGTTTGATAAATCACCGAAACAAAAATGATAACAGAAAAGTTTTTCTTCCCAAGGTGAATGCGGCTGGCATAAATTACTTATAGAAACGGAATCTGGAAGAAAGTAAAGCAGCTGTAATTTGCTTCAGGATATAACACTTTAAAAGGAAATATTGGCCTCTAAATTGAGAACTCAAATAAAGCCGCTTCTCGTAGAATTCTTGAATGTGCTCACTTGTTTTAATGTTTGTTTGACTGACTTTCTCTGCAAACCTCATAAGATTTATTTGTTGTTATTCTTATCCTCTCGAGAAATGTCTTAAGGTTTTAAGGACAAAACAACTGTTAAATTAACCCACCATTCGTTGGATAAACAATCTATAATAACTATTTTGGGATATCTAGAGTTTTATGAGTTAAGCTATAAGTATATCAATGGCGTTTAAAAGATAGTTATTTAAATAAATATTGAAGTTTTAACTGTACCACTTTCATTGTAGAGAAAGGTGCCAGAAGGCATACATAACGATCTTTATTAAAAGTAAATATAGATTAAATATAGTTATCTGTATTAAGTGTTTTTTTTTTACAGAATTGAGGGGAAAAAAACAAAGACAATTTTACGTTTCGTAAATACTTAATTTATCAGCAACCATGGTTTCGCCAGTAAAGGCATCATCATCGTGTTTATTTCCTCAGTTCAATAGTTATGGAATTTTACCGACGGTTTCAAGTTTCAATTATATGTTGTTTTTTTAATGACAGTGTCTCCCGGTTGGTCAACGGTAAGACTGTGGACGTGCAAGCTAAAATTCAGGGTTTGATTTCTCCATGGTAGACATAGTGCAGATAGCCCATCGTATAGTTTTTGCACTAAAGAGACAACTTTGATGACAGTTTCCCCCTTTTATGGAAAAAAATGAAAATGTTTTAAGATAAACATATACATTTTAATTTTTAGTTGATAGTATCACAATAACAATCGATTTTTAAGATCCATAAAAATCAATATTTTTCTTCTATTTGAGTTACGGTAGAAGTAACTCAAATTATACAGTCGTAAGCTGTTCATTAATAACGTATCAGCACACACACACACGTTGTAGCAATTCTACTACGATTCTTTGAGGAGCTTTCAACGAAATATTTAAAGTTATTAAATCCAAAACCACGAATAATTTTAAGTGTTTTAAAAAATTAATTGTTATCTATGTTTACAAAAGTACCTAATTTTTCAGCATAAACCAACTGCTAATTTTGTGCTTCATATTTCTAACACTATAAAATGTACCCGTATCGTTCTGTCGCCC